GTGTTATCTACGTATCTTGCGTTGGAAACGCACGAAAGAAAACAGCATCTAAATATAAAAGCTCAACTTAAGGAATGTCCAATTTGTCAGAAGAAATTCGATGCGGATTATATAAGAAAACATATCGACACTGTACACAGTAACGAGCGAAATTTTCATTGCGACATATGTGGTGATTCATATAAGAGCAAACCTCAACTTAAGCGCCACATGTTATTACATACGAAGGAACGCAAAGTTCCATGCACTGTATGTGATAAGACATTTGTCGATAAAAGTGAACTTAAGGTACATATGCGAGTTCATACAGGCGAATTACCATATGCCTGCCATTTATGTGATCGTCGATTCAGAATTAAAGTCCGTCTCACATACCATTTGCAAAAACATGCTAATATTAAGCGAATATGTAATGTATGCGGCAAAGAGTTCAAAACTGGCACATCGTTAAGAAAACATTCATTTGAACATACCGGCTTAATGCCATATAAATGCAATATTTGCAATTATGGAAGCGTGAAGCGTGAATAGTAAGTTTTTTAAAAAAGCTTTGAAAACCTATTCGATTAATAAAATAATCTTTTTAACAGTTTTATTACACATATGCAACGCAAGCACGACAAAACTATGACGGCAGATGAATTATATGTAATGTTCAAAGTAAATACTGGCCGAACTCCATACGTTAAGCCCGTCGACGACATAGAAACAGCGAAGAAAGCACATCCGGAATACTTTGAGAGTAATAAGTTATAAAAAATTTTAATTCCTAAAAGTTAAAGTGGATACATTCTTTGGATCGTTTACAGTCAACTGCTTATACATATAAATTAAACGGTTCGTTGTTTAAGTGTTAAACAAGTTATTTCAGCTGCCTGGGTTTTTGTTTTATGTGAGTCTAAAAACGAAACTTCCAATCATTTTCTAGCTTGCAATGCGACCTTGTACAACTGTTCGTGGCAGATTATTGATGTGTAGAAGGGTTTGCTAATTTACGTACATGATGGAGGTAAAAACCACTCCGTTTCTCAGTATGCTGCGGAAGCCCTTTAAATTGCAGCTTCAGGCCCCCCTGAATTTTCATTGAAAATATCGTACCATTGATTTTCACACGATCGTTGAACACAACCAGGTAAGTACCATTGACCTTGTTCGGAGCCTCTTTAATTTCTTCTATAACAGCCAGTTGATCATTGATGAATACTATACCATCGCTTACACTAAGTAAAAAAAAAAAAAAGTTCTCAGTCCTTGGGATGTAATTGTTATTTCCTAGTCTGTTATGCCTTAAAAGTATGGAAACCACCTAATATTCCTCGGAAACTTTGCTTTTGTGACCAGGACAATGTGATTCATTAAAATATGCTAAAATTATGAGAAAAACGTGTTTGAGTCTTTCACTACAGAGAAAATCATACAGAACAGCACATATAAATCAAAACTAAATTTTATTAAAACTTCAGAAAACCAAAAACATAAAAGTAAATCAGAAGCGGGTGGTTTTTCGACATTTGCGTTTAAACTGCGAGTCACTTTCTCTAATCAATCCCCAAATGTAATCTCCCATCATGTTCTCATTGGACGCTTCCTCTGACATGTGACTTTAACACTAGGATCCAGCAAATTCCACTGCATCAGTCTGGACGTCAAAAGTTCAGCATCGGACTTGGTTAGACCAAGATCTCTGATCAAATCATTCATGTCCTTTTGGTTGGGATAGTATGGGTTTTTGTTATCAGCTAGTAAATTAAATCCTTCACCTTCATTGTCTTCCACACTCATGGAATCAGGGCTCTCACAGGAAGACACCTGCTCTTTCTCTGGAGGAGTAGGAACGGGGCGGTCAGAGCTGTGTGGAACTGGAGCCATGGATGAAGGAATGTCAGGATACATGATTTGACTTGCTTTTTTGCCAGTCCGACGTTTGGAAGGGTCCACCATGCAGAAAAAGCAGTTGCTTGAATGGTCAGTGGGTTCTCTCCAAACTCTTGGCACAGCAAACTTCATAGCTCTCTTTTCCCCTCTGTACCATCCTGAAAAAAAAAATTAGAAAAGAAAAGTACTGTCTAATAAAAAAGTTAATAGAAACATTCATTTTACCCATAACAAAGCAATATAGTTTTAAAATGTCTTACCTTCCAAAGTCCTTTTGCAGTTTTCACACGCGAAATGAGGTGCCCAGGATTTGTCTTGATCACCCACAGGCATGCCGAAATAAGCATTGTAAGCTTCGTACATTTTAAAACCTGTTTCCAAAGAGTACTTATTCGCTCTTGTTTTGATAAAATATCCGCAGACATAACAAAATGCATCTGCAGGATACTTGCAGCCTCGTGAAGCCATGTTTGAACGAATTTATCTGTAATAAAATAAGAAACAACTCTCAATAAATCACAAAAATGTTTCAAAATTTATTGCGACGACTTTGTTGTTTTAACTAGTGTTGGGCAGTATCGAGTACTTTTGTGTATTTACTACTTTGGTATCGATACTTTTAAGCATCGGGTACTGTCGATACTTTTCAGCATCGAGTACTGAGTACTTTTGGAATCGATACTGCCCAACACTAGTTTTAACACACGCAAATGTAGAGAAAACAAGTTGTATGCGCTCGTGTATCAGTTTTCAACAAACAAGCATAAAAATAAACGCAGATAAGCGCTGCCATGGTCACAAAAGCAAAGTTATCTTGCGACAATAGCTGTTTTCTATACTTTTGGGACCTAACTGACTAGGAAATAACAATTACAACCCAGGGACAAAAACCTTGTTACATAGTGGTATCGGTGTAATTGGTGCTAGGTTATTAAATGTTGCGCTGCAACTAGTGGTAGGCTCTATCAGCTCAGCGGGCGTTGGGCGAAGTTCTCGGCATGCAAGGTGGCAAAGTCCTTTTGGCCATTTGTAAACCGAGGGTGGTCCAGGAACCTCTTGAGTCTAAATGCTTAAACAGACTCCAGCGTAGCAGTTAATTCCGAGTTGATCCGGATCAACACTGCCGTCTGTTTATGCTTTACGCCAGGAACACTTCTCGCTAGTGATGGGAGTTCTAACGGGTTGTTGTTGTTGTTGTTGTTGTTGTAGCGGCTACTAAGCCCCGTTCGGGTCGGTTCATCCATCAACGTTGTCGTCAATTTCAGCTAGGGGGAGGCCCAGGAAGTGTGCGACTTCCACAGGGGCTGTCCATAGGGACAGAGGCGTCAGCTGAGTGGGGTTGCACCAGCTGCATGGAGAACGATGAGGTGGGATCCTGTTGCTGTTTTAACTGCATACAAACTCCCCAAAGAGGTTTTGGGGAGTGATGTTGGAGTAGGCTTGCCAACATTTTCTAAGAAATTTATCGAATTAAAAAAAATGAAAAAATATTGTACTACATGTATATATCTTCTACATACTTATGTGTAAAAGGTATTTTTCTGTTACCAACCAATATCTTCTTTGATATTTTTTCAAATTTAATGACTGACATCTCATTTTGAAGGGGAGAAGCTCCCGTTGTTCAAATTTAATTATTTACTAAAAAAAAAGGGGTTTAAAAAGCTGAAAGCACTGTATCCGGTCAATAAAGCGCTATATCTTCCATAATAATTTTATCAATTGAAGGAAAGCTTCTCTGCTTGATGCAAAAATAAAAACTTTTTAATAGCATTGCCACCCGCTTAAAATTTTATATTGAGCAATTGAATAAAGTTTTGTTAATTTTCGGTCGCTATCAGTGCTTGTGTTCTTTTTTTTTTTTTTTACTAAAAGTATATTCGGTAATGACGGGAGTTATTGCTTGTTTTTGCGGCAGTTTCGGAAGAGGCATACTATTTAATTTCCATACTAACTTTTGCACCAAGTTGTGGATTGCAAACTGTGTGAAGTACTGGAGCTACTCCTGCTTTGTTATTTCTTTTTGAATTCGCCTAGAAAATAAATAAAATCGGTAATTATCAAAAAAATAAACAAATTGCAAAAATATTTACTTTTCCTGTTGTTCAGCATCCATCTTTTGTATTTATTTTATTTACGAAACAGCTGTTAGACAGTAAAATTGTTTTCACCTCGTGTGGTGATTTTGTTGAGCTTTTTTCTTATGAGGCGTGGGCAAGAATAACCTCACAAGAAATCTCACAAATTTTTGCTCACAACTCAGTTGTAAGGTTTTATTAGAATAGGGCTGTTAGTGTGTGCAGTGCATGATTCAATAATTAAAGGTTTGCTCATTATTGACATTAGACTTTTGACACTCCCTTAGCTACCTTACAAAAGCTTTGCACACACACACGAACCCACACAGTGCTTTGCTAAGGGAGCCGATTTTGTCAAGAGGGAGCGAGAAAACTGCTTTTTGAGCAAACCCTTTATTAGGTGCGTTCGTTTAAAATCTCCAACAGAAACCAACCAACTGCCAAATTCCGGCGAAATGTCATCTGTTCGCTCACAAGAGAGAAATATCCAAAATAGTACGCGAACAGAAAATTTGCAGAAACTTGCAAGTTAGACGAACAGCTGATATAATTTTTGTTTACATACAAAAGTGTAAAATTTAAAACGTACGAAAAGTCATCGCAAAGTGTTATACTGACACAGTTTATTGATTAAACAAATAACTACTTATTTCTTACAAGTTTAATTAGTCGCATTTTGTAATTTTTATCTTCCAAACCATCAAATTAAATTTTGTGATTTGCGTAAATGCCAACCAGCTGTTTTTGATCAAATTGCTGTTGGCAAAAATTTTTCCAACAGAAACTAACAGCTTCCCCTCAAAATGAAATGTCACTTTGCTCTCTCAATTTCCCCTACTTTGCAAGTTTTTTGCGTACGCGAACGCAAAAACCTGTAGGTTTTGGTTAAACATGAACAATTAACAGCTACGCGAACGAACCTATTATTGAATCATGTGTGCAGTGTACATTGCACACGAAAGTCGATGCATCGAAAAAAATATATCGATATATCGATGTATATCGGAAGGTACAAAACATCCGTTTTATTCGATACATTGAATAGCGAACAGATGTTTTTTTTGCATCCCTAGTTTGTTAGCACCTGCCGCCATAACGATATTTTTGGTGTTTGCATTATAATATAGTTTTGTCAAGTAACAATAATAATAAACACGAAATCCTGCATGGAATCTAAACAAATAAATACTTAAATGAACTCAACTTAAGTAATACGTCTGCGAAAATGCAATGCCGCGCTTGTATGCAAAAAAACTATGATGGATTTGTGGAAATGAGTTACGCCGTATCAGCAGACGGCAAAACCTTGTACGATTACTTTAATGAATGTACCCAGCTTCAAGCGACAAATACAGACAATCTTCCGAAATTGCTATGTCTAGCGTGTACTCAAAGTTTGCGCGCGGCCTACAATTTTAGGCAAGGCGCTCGCCGTTCAGATGAGGAACTAAGGAATATTTTGGAAGGTGCAGTAAGTTTGGATGATACTTATACAAAGCAATCGCAAGTATAGTGTTCAATAATATTGCTTCAAATCGATATATGTACATATTTCCTTTTTTTGTTAGCATTTTGGCGATTATTTGAACCAGTCTATATATGAAATTGAGGAAGTAAATTTACCCTTACAAGATATAAAGACCGAACTTACAATAGAGATAATTAACGAATTAGACGCGGGACAGTTATCAAATGTAGATTCTGATGAATCGATACCATATGAAAGTGAAAATGGAAATGATGAGTTTAGTAGGGCGACCCATATCTGTGAATTCTGTGAATGTAGTTATACCACGCAAAATAAACTAAAAGATCACATTTTAAACCTCCACAAGGGTAAGCTCCATTTCTAAACACAATATTCAATTTGGTAAATACCACTAATATTTTCATTTGATATACAATAAACATCTACATACTTTCCAGATGAAATTACTTGTACCACGTGTCAGCAGATGTTCGAAATGCCAAGAGAACTGAAATTGCACAAGGAGCTCGTTCACATGACTGAATCGCCTGTGGCCTGTCCATGGTGTAGAGCTCCTAAATTTATCCCAAAAGAGAAATTAACAAAGCACATGCAAACAAGACACAAAAGGTCTTTCTTGAAATATTTTCCACGTATCAATGTTTGTAGTCCAGATACTGATGAGCTTTTTCAGTGTGAACGTTTTCAAGAGTTCTTGCAGATTGAGTTAGCAGATAACATTCAGGAGCACACATTCGAATGTGTCATATGTTCTAAGAGTTTCAAAGAACATAGTGCTTACAAAACCCACATAAAAAGCATACATAATAGTTCCATTTGTAGTAAGGAAGATATCCCTTCGAAAGATGATGGGAAATTGAAGAACGCACTAGAGTGTTCCGTATGCTTAAGAAAATTCAAACTTGAAAGGACATTTGAATTGCATATGAGAACTAAGCACAAGCCAGATTCTGTGAAGAAAAATAACCCTTCTGCAAGAGCAAAGAGAGACTATGCGCGAAGTCGCAGAAAACGGAAAGAAGTATCACCAAATAAAAAAGCATCACGCGAAAGTAGACATGCTCAAATGATGACAGAGGGGAAAAAGTATCTGTGCTCTATCTGCCGTGAGTATAGAATTAAAATTTTATTTCCTTATTTTCCAACGGGTTCTGTACAGGGATCGAAAATAATAGTTATCTTCGAAATTTCAATCAATAACTACAGTTTAATTTTAACTTGGCACAGCAAATTTTTCACAATATATGCAACAATTTTCATTCTAATATTTTTCCGATAATTTCGTATAAAAATATGGTTCATTCTACAACAAAAAGCATAAAAATATAATTCCTGAACTTTGTGCAAAACTCTATCAATTTTATTATAATAAAGTGCAAGTTTTAAGTAGCTAGGAATTACCGTTGATTTTTGGCAATTTTTTTCACGCAGTCCCTTCCATACGAAATTTTTTTTCGAAAATACTTTATTGGAAAAAATGCAAAACACCTTCAACAAAAAAATTTTTTAATATCAACGCGATTTTCGACTAACTCCGAACTTGCATTTTACTAGAATTTAATGGGCTGCAAAACTGCATACTTAAACAAATTTTAAAAAATCTGATAAAAAAGTTGAAAATTTTGCTGAATTTTCGCGAGTTTTGTACAAAGTTTAGGAATTATATTTTTTGTTGTTGAATAAACCAAACAAAATTGGCGAAAAAATATTAGAATGAAAATTGTTCCATTTATTTTGAAAAATTTGCTGTGCCAATATTTTGTTCCGGCAGTATATGTCGAATCAAGGTGAATTTACACAAGGTGGTGTTGGGGCACGAAGTAGCGAACAATTAAAAGTGAAGAACGCGTTGAAAAACTGAAATTCACTAGAACTTGCACTAAAATTACTGTTTTTCACATTTTCCTTATTAACTCCTGTTCTAAATTTTTCAATTTAAAGAATGGTATATTCACTTTCGAGTAAAGTCAAGTTCGCGTTGAATTCAAACTAGCAGGGGTTAAAATTCACTCGGAAGTGAAATGCAGAACCTGCTCTATCAAGATAATTGACTAATCTGACAGTTCTTTTATCCTATTCGGCTTTGTTCAACTTTTAATTGAGAAATGTCATCGCCGTTAGAAATACATACTATAATACATACTATAACTCTCATTCCTAAACAGAAGCGTTGAGCGGAGCGTTTTCTAGCGCCAAGCGTTAATACCGAAGTGCCATACCTAAACAAAAGCGGCAACGCTATGTCAAATGCAGAAAAAACAGCAACAAAGCATAGGTTTGTTTGTGTAAAATACGGTCGGTGTTATGCAGAAATTTTGTTTGGCAAACTGCGTGCAATTGTGGTTGCAGCAAACTCGGAGAGAGCGAGTTTGGCGACTCTCACAGCAAACTAATTTTGTTTGGTCAAACTGCAGCAAATTCGGTGTTGTCATATACAAAAATTTTAGACAATTGTTGCTATACACATAAAATTGTCGTGATACTGAAAGCCAGAGAACTGAAATTATGCTGTAGAAGCTTCAAAGATTAGGGCACAGTTAATTGCCTATACGACATCATAAAAAATATATTAATTGTGCGCGTTATGTACATCTGAAATTCTCATTTCGTGTTGGCAATAGCCATGAAAACCATAATGAACGTGCAACCCTGTGCCAAACTCGGCATAACCACCTCCGAGCAAACTAAGCAGCCGCCATTTAATTTGGCAAACAAAAGTTTG